ATAAGACCACTGTTATAAGAACTCAAGAAAAGGTTTAAACACAGAAGAAAACATTCTTTGATGGTTACGAGGGTAGGGAGGGAGGGTGAGGGTTATTTACTAACTAGATGGTAGAGAAGAATTAGGTAAAGGGAAGGACAGCACACTACAAGGGGAGTCAGCACAACTGGACTAAACCGAAGCTAAGAAGTTTCCTGAATACAGTCAAACACTTTGAGGGAGAGAGTAGCAGAGGTAGGGTTCTGGGGACCATGCTTTCAGGGGACATCTAGGTCAATTGGCATAACAAATCTTATTAAGAAAATGTTTTGCATCCTGCTTTGGTGAGTGGCGTCTGGGGTCTTAAAAGCTTGCAAGCGGCCATCTAAGATGCATCAATTGGTCCCAGCCACCTGGAGTAAAGAAGAAGGAAGAACACCAAAGACACAAGGAAAGTATTAGCCCAAGAGACAGAAAAGGCCACATAAACCAGAGACTTCATCAGCCTGAGACCAGAAAAACTAGATGGTGCCCAGCTACCACGAGTGACTGCCCTGACAGGGAACACAACAGGGTCCTGGATGGAGCAGGAGAAAGGTGCGGTGCAGAACTCAAGTTCTAGTAAGAAGACCAGACTTAATGGTCCCACTGAGACTGGAGGAACCCCGGAAAGCATAGCCCCTGGATTCTATTATCAGACCAGAACTAAAACAATTTGCAAGGCCAACTCTTCTGACAGGGATTGGACTGGACTGTGGGACATAAATTGATACTCATGAGGAGTGTGCCTCTTAGCTCAAGTAGATACAAGAGACTAAATGGGAGCTTCTGTCCAGAGGTGAGATGGAAAGGGAGAGAGGGTTAGGAGCTGATTGAATGGACATGGGGAATAAAGGGTAGAAAGGAGGAGTGTGCTATCACAGTATGGGAAGAGCTAGAAGAGTCACATAACAATGTATAAATTTTTGTATGGGAAAAAATAATAAAAGCTAGACCTTTCCTACCATAGATGAAATAGATTTCAGATGGATTAAAGACCTTTATGTAAAAAAAGAACAAAAAAAGTTACAAAGGCACTTAAAACATAGGAGAGTTTTTATAATCTGGGGAATAGAGGAAGCCATAAAGGAAAAGACTGACAGTAGGAGAAAATATATACGCATGTGTCACATTCACTTCAGAAATTTTTGAGCACCTACCATATTTGTGCCCATTTCAAAGGTGATCCAAAAGAATGTGGAAATTACCAAACAATACCATTAATATCAGAAGCACATAAAATTTTGCTGAAGATAATTCAAAAACAGTTGCATCGAAAGGAACTGCCAGAAATTCAAGCCTGATTCAGAAGAGGACATGGAACAAGGGATATCATTGCTTATGTCAGATGAATCTTGGCTGAAAGCAGAGAATACCAGGATGTTTGTGTTTCACTCACTATGCAAAGGCATTTGACTGTGTGGATCATAACAAATTATGGATAACATTGCAAAGAATGGGACTTTTCAGAACACTGAATTATGCTCATGAGGAACCTGTACATAGACCAAGAGGCGATTGTTAAAACAGAATAAGGGGATATTGCGTGGTTCAAAGTCAGGAAAGGTGTGTGTCAGGGTTGTGTGCTTTCACCATACTTGTTCAAGCTCTATGCTAAGCAGATAATCTGAGAAGTTTATTATGTGAAGAAAAATGTGGCATCAAGATTGGAGTAAGACTCATTAGCAGCCTGCAACATGCAGATGACATAACCTTGCTTGTGGAAAGCAAAGAGGACTTGAAGCACTTACTGATGAAGATCAAAGACCACAGCCTTCAGTATGGATTGTACTTCAACATAAAACAAGAATCCTCACAACTGGACCAGTAAGCAGTGTCATGATAAATGGAGAAAAGATTGAAGTTGTCAACGATTTAATTTTACTGGGATCCACAGTCAGCACCCATGGAAGCAGCAGTCAAGAAGTAAAACGACATACTGCATTGGGCAGATTGCTGCAAAAGACCTCGTTTAAAGTGTTAAGCAAAGATGTCACCTTGAAGAGTGAGGTGCACCTGACCCAAGCCATGGTGTTTTCAGTTGCCTCATATGCATGCGGAAGCTGGGCAGTGAATAAGGAAGAAGAAGAATTGATGCCTTTGAATTGTGGTGTTGGTGAAGAATATTGAATATACCATGGACTGCCAAAAGAATGAACAAATCTGTCTTGGAAGAAGTACAGTCAGAACGCTCCTTAGAAGTGAGGATGGCAATGTGCTTTGGACATGTTATCAGGAGAGACCAGTCCCTGGATAAGGACATCATGCTTGGTAAAGTAGAGAGCAAAAAAGAGGAAGGCCCTCAATGAGATGGATTGATACAGTGCCTGCAGCAGTGGTCTCAAACATACCAGTGATTGTGAAGATGGCAAGGGACCGAGCAGTGTTTCGTTGTGTTGTACATAGGGTGGCTAGGAGTTGGAATCAGCTTGAGGGCACCTAACAACAACCATGTGCTAGGCAGGTGTTCTAGATGTTGAGGATAAATTGGCGAGCAAAACATAGCCCCTGCATTTGTGGAATTTATATTCTCATAGAGGGAGAAGACAAACATAAAATATATAGTATTTTAATGTGGTAAGTGCTATAGGAAAAAGTCAAAAGAGTTTTAGGAGATCAGCAGTATCTGAACTTCATTTGAGATCATTTTCTCATGGCTGAAGAGTACTGTTCAGTATTTCTCTTAGCGAAGGGTCTGCTGGTGATAAAATCTGTTTTGTTCGTCTGAAAATGTTTATTTTCTTGAAAAATATTTTCACTGGTTTAGAATTCTAGGTTGGCAGTTATTTTCATTCAGTACGTTAGAGACTTGATTAATTTTCTTCTCGCTTTCTTCGTTTCTTTGAAAATTCAGCAGTCAATCTTATATCTTTGTTGCTCCTTCGGAGGTTGCCTGTCTGTTTTTCTGCTGCTTTTATTATTTCGTTTTGGTCTTTTGTTTCAGCAGCTTTTCTCTGGTGTGCCTAGGCTGATTTTATTTGAAATTTATCATTCTCAATGTTTGTTGTAGTACTTGATATCTTTCATCAGTTTTGGAAAATTACCACTTTTTCTTTTTAAAATATTACTTCTACTCTATTCTCCCTCTCTCTTCCTTTTGGGATCCCAATTAAATGTATATTAGAACTTTTCATTGTATCCAGTCTAGCTCTTAACATTATTTTCTGTATTTTCTGTTCATTTCATATTCTCCTTTCTTTATTCTGGATGTTTTCTTCTGCCTCATTTTCTAATTATGTCATTTGTTAAATCCATCTATTGAGTTCTTTAGTTAATTGTGTTTTTCAGTTTTGTAATTGATAACTGCTAACATTGAAAATACTCTTTTATTTCACTTAATATAACAAGTCTGGTTATTTTAAAGTCTTTAATAACTCTTACAAAAAGCTTCTCTTTGGATATATGCAGTGTGTTGGTTATCTTGATGTTCAGTCAAGTTATCAGATCTCTTCATGTTTTCATATGTTTGGTTGTTTTTGAGTGCTCAATAATATATATGACAACTTGTTATTTCTCGCCAAAGAAGATTTATGATTGCATCTGGAAGAAGGAGTCACTAGTCATCTCAGATTACTTTAATAGAATTTCAGAGATTGAGATAATTTACAGTCAGTCTATTTTCTAGTTGAAGTTAACAAAAAAATGGGGGTGGGGGAGAGGCTGTGGACAGATTACTTCCGAAAGATCATCTGTAAAATTGGTAGCTGGCTTCTCAGCATAAATAATGGAAGCCAGAACTCATTGGAATATTTTTTAATGTTTTTTCTTTCTAGGTCTGGACCTGTTGAAAATGCTGATCAGTTTCTCAGCCTCTAAATCTCCTCTTCCAGAAATGCCAAATGCCCTTAGGGGGAAAAAAAAAACCCAAATGCCAGATTCAGTTCTTTAGGATTTCTTCTCTCCAAGATCCTGGGCCCATAGTTACTCACTGATGTTTTATTTCTGCAGTGCTTTCAAGCAGATGTTTCCTTATATTTGTCCAACTTTTCTCTAGTTGTTATCAGAAGTGGAATTCCTCCTGTCTTCTTTTTTTTAATATAGTTTCCAATTCCATGCCAAAATTCATAATCGAATCTCTTTTCTCAAATATAGTAAGCATCATTATTTAAAATCTGTATCTAATAACTTCAGTATCTGGACTCCCGTGGGTCTCTATCAGCTTTATTTTGGTTCTCATATTTCTTTGTGTACCTGGTTTATTCATATACAGTGTTTGAATTAAATGATTGTAGAGTAATTTGAGGCCTATGATGATGATACCTTCTTCCGGAGAGGATTTACATATTTTATGTTCTTCCAGGGTACCTGGGGCACTAGCAAGTCAGGTCCCCAAAACTGTCAAAAAGCAGACTTCTCAGCCATTCAACTTCCTTTTCCAGAATTGGCAAATGACACCAGGGGAGAAACTGCCCCAAAAGCTAGACTCGCTTCTCTGAATTTCTGTATTCTTCTCATCTTGATCCAATAATTCTTCACTGCTGTGTGTGCCCTTGATAATACTCAAGCTTTTTTATTTTTCGCGGAAGGGTTGGTCTGAATTACCTGGTCTATGTTTTACTCCAAGTAGAAATCTTTGACATACAACCTTTTAAAAAGTAGTTGTTACTATTTAGTTCTCCAGCCTCGTTAGTAAAACACATTCACGAAAGGCAGCATAGCAGTAGTGAAAACACTACAGGTTTGGTCACTTAACAAACCTGAATTTGAGTCCTGACTCCATTACTCTCTAGCTATTAGCTTAAATCAACTTCTGTGATTCTCAGTTATCTCTTCTCAACATGTGTATACCACCTGCCTCATAGGATGGCTGTAAAATTATGGGGTAAAATATGTAAAGTACCTAACCATAACCAGGCTTGGTGCAAGTGCTTAAATATGAGTTACGCATTGCCTTCTTCTGTACTCCCACTCCCCAATACCTACCCCATAATATTGTCCTGGTCAAATTTTGAACTCTTTTTCTCCTGTTTTATTTCCTCCAGGTGATTCTAGTCACAAGATTCCTATTTCAAACTTTGAATCTGGGCGTGACCAAGCAACTGTGTTACAAAACCTTTATAGATTTATTCATCCAAGCCCAGGGAACTGGCCACCTATCTACTGCAAGGTAATTTCAGGTTAAGAATTTGTTGTACAGTCTCCAGGAAGCATATTTGCTTGTGTATTAACTGTATGTGTTAAAAGATGTTCATTCTGAATTATTTTGAATATAACTAGATACGATACCTAATTATAGGGATTTTGGAGGCTAGAAAAGCTGAACTTACTTCTGCTTTCATAGATCTCATGCTTTTGAGTTCCTTCTGAAATATCTTCAATATCCTTTAACTCTGAAGAATGGATGTTCTAGTCTGTATGCCCATTCTCCCAAGCAGAATTATTTTTTATTCAAAACTGTGGAGCAAGCCCTTGCCCCTCTTTTTGTCATCTTTACAGAGTCCGTATTCTTTATTTTGTGTAAATTCTAGGCTAGGAGTCGAAGAATCGGTTTCTAACCTTAGTACTTATTAGTACAATCATGAACAGATTTCCTGATTATTTTCTGAACATTGGTTTCTTAATTAGGCTGTTAAGTCTCACTTGCTTTTCGTAAAGTATATTAATATTGCTATACAGATGTTAACTGGTTCTTAATAGCAGTAGTCTTATATCATTTATGTTCTTTTTTTTTACAATTTTTCATTTAGTCATCACAAAGTCTTCAGTCTCTCCCACCCCTTCCCAGTTGGAAAGGACAGTGTTAATTAAAAGTAACTCAAGGTAAGAGAAGAGTAGGAAACACAAGTAATTGTTTTTTTCCTTCTCCAGTCTGATGATAGACCCAGAGTCAACTGGTGTTTGAAGCATATGGAGAAGGCATCAGGTAAGTGAAACTCTTGGTTTCTGCCAAAGTGCATTATAATATCTATATTTGTTTCCATTTTGATGTACATATTTTAAGTACCTAAATTCACTAATTGTATGCATTTCTGTATTTACCAATGGAAGGTATCAGGCACGATCTAGAACTTCTTACTGTGGAGGACCTTGTAGTGGGGATTTACCAGGAAAAATTCCTCAAGGAGCCCTCAAAGACTTGGGTTCGGAGCCTTCTAGATGTGGCCATGTGGGATTATTCTAGCAACACAAGGTATTTATAGTGACTTTGTACTTTTCTAAACTGAGGAAATATGGTAATACTACTTGTATATGCACATAGGCTCACCATTAGTTAGAATTGACTAAATGGCAACTAACAACTTGAATATGCTTTTTTCTTTTCTTTTTTTAGCAGTATTTTCATATAAAGCCTTGGAAGCATTACATTTCCTTGAATATAAGATTCCACTGATTTTAAGATACATGATTTTATGTACCACTAAATATTAAAAACAAACTGCTAAATAAACTGAAACAGTGCTTTCTTATCAGAATTTTTATACTGATGAAAGAATACTTTTAGATTGTATTTAGGCCTTTTTCAGTATATAGAACTCTGGTACTTACATAAAAAGGACTGTATAAGTGAAATAAATTGGCAGAAATATTTAATTTTTATTATGAGATAATTTCAGACTTATATAAAAGTTGCAATGACACTACAAAGAAGTCCCATATATATCTCAGATTCCCCAGTTGTTAACATTTTGATACATTTTCCTTAGAATTTTCTCTTTAAATATATACATACTATTTCTTTTTCTGAACCATTTGATGGTAAGTTGCAGTCCATGATGTGTCTTTACCCCTAAATGTCTTCAGTATGTGCTTCCTAAGATCAAGAATGTTGTCTTACATTACTACAGTAATCAGAATGAAAATACTACTATTGACATTACTTTTATCTAATCCAAAGACCATATTCATATCTTCCAGTTGTCCTAGTAATGTCTTTTATAGCAAAAAAAAAAAATTCTAGTCTAGGGTCCAGTCCAGGATCACACTTAGTTAATCTCTCTCCTTTAATCTGGAACAGTTCCTCAGTTTGACTTTCACAATCTTGACATTTTTGAAGAGTACAGGCCAGTTATTTTCTAGAATGTTTCTCAATTTGGATTTGTCTGTATTTCGTCATGATTAGACTGAGATCATGGGTTTTTGGCAGGAATACCACGAAAGTGATATTGTGTCTTCCTAAGGGCATATCTGAGGACGTAATGATGTCAGTTTGTCCCACTTAGATGTTAGATAACTTTGGTCACTTGATTTAAATAGTATCACCAGAGTTCTCCATGGGAAAGTTACACAGTGGCTGTAACAATAGACTCAAACATAGCCATGATTGTGAGGATGGTGCAGGAGTGGACAGTGTTTTGTTCTGTTGTACATAGGGACGCTGTGAGTTAGAACTAACTCCATGGCACCTAACAACAATAAAACATGGCTGCTTTCACACTACAATGGCAGAGCTGAGTAATTCTGACAGAGACTGTAAAGCCGAAAATATTTACTATCTGGGCCTTTACAGAAAAAGTTTGCTGACCCCAGTCTAGTAGATTGATGGAGAAGGGCTAATGAGTACAGTATTCCTTGCATTTTTGTATGTTTAAAACTTTCTATTGTCTTGAAACTTGGCTGGAGATAAAATCTTTGGTTTAAAGTTTATTTCCTTGCATTTCTAGAAAATGCAGCTTAGTGTATCGCTTTTGAGAAGTTATGTCAGTTAATTCTCTTGGCCTGTTATTTTTGCCAGAAGACCTTAAGAATACTTTTTTTTTCATATTTAGAGTGTGATAGTTTTAGTAGGATATTTCTCCGGAGTTTATTATTGCAGGTCAGTTTCCCCAGATACTTAGTAAGCCCTTTCAGTATATAAAATCAGGTCCCATTTCTGGGGATTTTTTTTTAGATTATTTTTTGATATTAGTGCTGTTCCATTGATTTTTTTTCTTAAGGGAGTCAAATACATGTATGTTTGATCCCCTTATCTTTCAGTCGTTTTCTCTGACTTTTGTTATTTCTTTTTAAACTGATTTTTATTATCATGATTTGCTGCTTTCTTCAGTTTCCCTTATTAACTTTTGATTTGTATCTGTTATTCTTTGGGCACCTTATAATTTAGTCTTAATTTCTTTGCTGAGTTTAGTCAACTCTTGTTTTATATCCATTTCTGTTCTTAGTTTTAACATTTTTCATTCAGGATATGTTTTAATATACTCAAATTCTTGTTTGAGGATACTTAATTCAATATAGAATGTTCTTATAAAATGTTAGGTTACTGTTTTCTCCTTCATGGTGGTTTTTGGGGGGAGGAGTTATAAACAAAAGTGTTTTGATTTTGATCTCAGGATCCTAAATTCTCCCTCTTGCTTTTTTCTTTTTCATGCATTTTCCAAAGGGCTCCTCTCCCTTTCTCTTAATGTCTTCTGCCCAGAAACATCATCTTAAAGACTGCCTCCTTGAGTCCTACAGGCACTTTGAAGTCCGTTTTCTGTAGTCAGTGTTCTGACCTACAAGGACCCTATTTCTGTATCTATGCACTTAAGTGGACTTTCTCATTGTAGGGGTGATTTTAAATTAATACTAGGCTTTCCATTTCTCTTTTCTCTCATCCCCACGTTTTTTTTCTGAACTCCACTCTCCATGTAAAGCTGTATTTATACAGCTTGTGGTGATAGTTTGAAAAATCTTGCCATACAAAATTAAGTTTTATTTTTTAGTACATGTATTTGAGTTTTGTAGTGTTCTCTGTCCTTTAGTTATGCTGAAGGTGTAGATTTTGTGTGATTGGTTTGGTTTGGTTTTTTTTTTTTTTTTTGTTCTTAATCTATAAAGTTTATGGATGATGTGTTAGGATATTAGGATTTATGTAGCCACCATTACCTCAGCTACTGCCAAAAGTATTTCTAGAACTTCATATTCAGTCATTCACTGTCCATGTTTTTATACATTAGTGTTTTCGTGTCATTGAGAGTGTTGGTGATTGTCTTAGTTACCTAGTACTGCCGTAACAGACCACAGGTGGGTGGCTTAAAAGAACAGAAATTAATTTTCTCTCAGTTTTGGAGGCTGAAAGTCCAAATCAGGGTCTCAGCCATGTTGCTTCTTTCTGTGGGCCTCTTTCCATGTTTCTGGTGCCTCTGGCAGTCCTTGGCTTTCCTTTGCTTGTAGACGGGCCCTCAAGTGGCATCTGTCTTTCACCTCTGGGTGTGTCTATGTCTAGTCTGCTCTTTTTATAACTCAGAAGTGATTAAAGACCCACCCTGCTATGGTATGACCTCATTAACATAAGAAAGGAAACCACTGTTTCCAAACAGTTATGTTTACAGCACAGGGGTTAGAATTTCAACACATATGTTGGGATGACATAATTTAATCCATAATAGTGATACAGCACTTTTAAAAAGGAGAACCCCACTTTTGTCTCTGGGATTTTATTCCAAGCCACTGACACCCTTTCACAAACTTTGATGCTGGTTCTTTCTTTATCTTATCAGAAGATGTCAATATAAAGTTTTCAGAGACAAATCAGTACTTCCTCAGATAATCTTTAAATAGTTTATTGGTTAAAATTTGAAGGGTTGCAGTTGTCTGTTTACCTTCAAGAGTAATAATGGAATTCTTACATGCTTAAGCAATGACACTTATTCTCAGACTTCCCAGTAGCAGTTGTAGAGTATCTTCAATTGTAAGATGCATTTAGCTTCAGTTAAAATGGGGGGGGGGGAGTATGTTTTAGAATTGAAGAAATACAGTATTGATTTGAGTAATTAAGTACAGGCTGCAACAAGACTAGAGTAGCTTTGGTGTAAGACATTCTTTGAGGCCTGTACCATAGGGTTTGTTAAAGGTGAAACTGTTACGTAGTACCTTAAACATTTTAGTAGTAAATTGCTTTGGGCTGGGTGAGTCTACCTTTTACTGAGCTTCATAGTGTAGTAAGATTCCAATATATAGTATTTTACAAAAGAGTTTGGGCCATAGGACAATAGAAACTATTAAAATCTGTTAATATAAGCAGATGGGACTCATTTCAACGTGACTCTTAAAGATCTGTGAAAAGATCTTAAAGTTTTCGAGTAAGTTTTGTTAAATATCTCTGAAAAATGAGTAGATTTTATATTGGTGAAATAAAGTTAGACAAAGTGAATATTAGAATCGTAAGTATGCAGACTGTTAATAGCCATCATGTTATTTTGGAGGCTAACATATTTATAACTTTCATAGATCTCTCATTTTCCTTGATGCCTCTTATCATAGTTGTCCTTGGATTAATTCACTGTGTATGACACCGCAGCCTTTATTTAATTAGCAAATAATTGAGCCTTTCCTCCGTGCCAGGCACTATTTAGTACTGTACTGAAGGTACAGTGGTGAACCAGATCAATGGGATCCCTGACTTAATGAAGCTAATATTTAAGTGGGAATGAGAGATACAGTAAACAATAAAGAAAATAGTAATTTTAGTGTGTGATAAGCACTAAGAAGGAAATCAACAGGATGCTTTAATAGAGGAGGGTGGAGAAAAGTAGGCTACTTTAAATAGCCTACCTCAGTAAAGCTGAGATCTGAAGCAAGAGAATGATGTAACCATACAAAAAATGGAAGGAAGAGGAGCATCCTGGGCAGAGAAATGTGAGAGCCTTGAGGTAAAAGCTTGCTGGAAATTGTTAGATGGTCAGTGTTGACTGGAGGCTAGTAAGCAAAGGAGAGAGTGGTACAAGATGAGGTTGAAGAAGTAAGCAGGGGCCAGAAACACAGGACCTTTTTGGCTATGGGGAGGAATTTTATCAAGTAGGGAAGTGACAGTTAATTTAGGTTTCTAAAAGATACAGTGGGTTTTTAAATGAATATACTGGAAGGGAGAAGAAAGGAAGTAAGGAGTCTGTAGTTATTGGATTAATTCTATAGTCCAGGCAAGAATTGGCTTGGTCTAGGATGTCAACAGTAGAGAATGGAGAGGAATGGGTGGATTTCAGATTGGTAGAAATCAATAGACCTTGCTGATGGACTGGATGCAGGAAGAGGGAGTGGAAGAAAGAAACCAGAGTCAATGGCCAGGTTTGTGGTGTATACAACTGGGTAGATGGGGAAGAGAGACAGGAACAGGTTTAGAACATTGTGAGGCATCAGAGCTAGAGATAACAAGCAAGCGCTTGGTCATCCTGTTCCTGAACTCAGTGGAGAGGTTTGGGTAATGCCGGCATTCAT